GGGGGGGAATTGCGCGAGCCTCCCCCCCCCCTGACCAGCCGCTTCTCTGCAGGCAATGAGTCCATCTGCTCCCCCAACGTGTACATCGAGTGCGCTGACCACACGCTGGGTAGGTGCGGCAGTGGGCGGGCGGCTGGGCTCCAGTCGGTTGCCCCCAGGGCCGGGGCAGGGGTGGGCTGCAGTCATGCCAATGGGTGCACGTCCCCAGACGCGGCGGTGGAGGACAGCCAGGAGCGCTGCAGTTGTCCCACACCGTGCAACCTGACGCGCTACGGCAAGGAGATCTCCATGGTGCGCATCCCCAACAAGGGCTCTGCGCGCTACCTTGCCCGCAAGTACAACAAGAACGAGACCTACATCCGGTGAGTTGCTGGTGTTGGGGTGTGCCACGGTGGTGAGCAGGGGGCTGGCACCTGGGGAGCCCTCACCCCACTCCTGGTAGTCTGCAGGGAGTGAGCCCTGGCACACACCATCTCTGCAGCATCCTCTGCCCAGGAGTGGCTGCCACTAGAGCATCTCCCCAAACCATCTGTGTCCTCCAGGCTCTCCTGCCAGCACGGTCCTTTCCGGCTTGCGACACGCTCCTTCTGTGTCCCCACCACACGAGCCTGAATAAATCACGACAGCATTGGGAGCAGCTGGGAGATGGAGAGCTGGGGGACAGGGGAGGTTTGGGGTACAGTGGGGATGAGAGGTTTGGTAATAAGCCCTCCTTGCCGAGCACTGTGATGTTCCCACAGGGAGAACTTCCTGGTGCTGGACATCTTCTTCGAGGCGCTCAACTACGAAGCCATTGAGCAGAAGAAAGCCTATGACCTTGCTGGGCTTCTCGGTGACTCTTTCTACCTTCCCATGGGACTCTGTGGCGTGGAACTCAGGGTCCCAGCCCTGGGAGGACATGGGGCTTGTTGGGGAGGGACCACACAAGGCAGGAGCCAGCTACAGACTGGCTGAAGGGTGGCATGCTGCTGGCCTTCCTCTGTCCTGCATGTACTCTGCTCCTTCCACCCTGACACCCCTGCCCCTGTGACCATGCTGTCCCCTCCATCCGGCAGCCCTGGCACTGCCCACAGCCCTGCTGGTCCAGCCCAGGGTCCCAGCAGGCTGCATAGCAACTCCCGGTGACCATCTCCTCCTCCTCCTCCCCAGGGGACATCGGGGGGCAGATGGGCCTGTTCATCGGTGCCAGCATCCTCACCATCCTGGAGATCCTGGACTATGTCTATGAGGTGCGCTGAGCCTTCAGAGTGGTGTCTTGGGGCAGACAAGGTGCAGAGTCGGGGTTGGGCTCCCTGGGGTGGGGGTACTGTGCATGGCCATGCCAAGGGCTATTACAGCTCCCAAATTGGGGAACACCCAGCAGCAGGCAGTGGGAGGAGGATGGATCCTTGCCCCCCCCCCAGCATCCCTTGGTGACCAGACAATGGGGACGGTGGCAGGCAGAGGTGCTGTCCCCACTGTCAGCCCCATATGCCCCAGGCAGGCAGGGGCGTGGGTGACAGGTCCATGCCGCCTGGGATGCCCACATACAGGGTGCTGCCTGCATGTGGGGCTGGGGCTGACCTCCTGTCTGCACCTAGGTGATCCGGGACAGGTTCAGCCGGGTCCTGAGCCGGGACGCGCAGGCGCGGGCCCCGCCCCCCCCCCAAGCCACCCCTGAAGAAGCCCTCAGGCAGCATTGCCACGCTGGGACTGGAGGAGCTCAAGGACCAGGTACTCCTGTGGGGGTGGGCTGCCTGGGGGGCTGCAAAGACAGGGTCTGGGCAGCATCCACCCCTGCTCCAGGATGAAGGGATGTCCCAAGAATGAGGAACAGCATGCTCTGTGTTCGGTGCCCTCAGGCTGGGTGGCAGGGAGCTGGGTGTGCAGGATGGGCTGTGCTGGGTGGGGGTCAGGGCGACAGGGTGCATGGGGTCTGCGTCCACTCAGAGCCCCTGCCAGACCCTGGGCCGGCAGGTGGAAGGCGCCTACAACACGGGCATCCTGCCCAACCACCACCACCGCCACTACCCTCACCAGGGCGTCTTCGAGGACTTCGCCTGCTAGGCCAGCTCGGGATCTGGGGAGGGCAGCCCTTGCCACACCCCTCCCCACCATCTACATGGAGAGGAACCG